CACACATACACATATATATATATATATATACATACATACACACACATAAATATATATATATACACATATACATACACACAAAGAAAAACAAGTAGATAGAATAAAAAAAATAGAAAGCTAGTGTTTGTTTTTTTCTGTTGTTTTTTTTAAATAAAAAAGAAGATAAATATAGATAAAGTAGAATTAAAATAGAATAGAAAGTGCTAAACTTAGAGGGTCAAATAAAGGTGGAACAGATGTGTTTTTAGTCGTTTCTTGAAGATGGTTAAGGACTCAGCTGCTTGGATTGAGTTGGGCAGGTCATTCCACCAGGAGGAAACAGTTAATGAAAATGTCAGTGAAAGTGATTTTGTGCCTCTTTGAGATGGCACAGTAATACGCCGTTCACTTGCAGAACGCAAGCTTCTAGAGGGCACATAACTCTGAAGTAATGAAAAGATAAAGTAAAATAAAGTTTATTCAATTAATAGAGAAGTAAAACATACATTAAATTAAGTGGTATGGCTACAAGCCATTTTTTTAAACCGCACTGCAGTGCAATTGATCATTTTCTAATATTGTATTAGTTCTATATTCAGATTAGAAATACTACTAGAAATATCATTATACGTTTTAATTTTATATTATTATTAGTAGTAGCCTAGTAGTAGTATATTTTTGCATTTTTTCTTATTTATTTTTGCATAACGTAAACTATTTTGTCATGTAGACTAAATGAACATCTCTGTTGGTGTTGTTCACGTTGTTTTGCCTGATAATAAAAGATAAACCAGCAGCCTGACTCACAGAGAGTCATGTGACATGCTCGGGTCACGTGATAAGATGACCGATAATAAAGTCAAACTCAGCAGAGAACAGCATTATATCCACTTCACCGGATCCAGGTTTACGCTGATGTCTTCGCTGGCCTCGTGAAATACGGTAAGTCATTTCTCTTTATGCTAATGTCATCCTTTTTTCTTTCATAAAATAAGTCTTTGTTTCGGGTTTGTTCCGGTCGCCCACTCGCTTCCGTCGGAAACAATGAGAAACAACGCTACAACAACAGTTACAACAACAGTTTAAAGTGATACGGTTTCAATCAGCGATGCAACGAATACATGCTTCCTTCAGGCTTTAATATGTATTAACCCATTTGTGGCCAAATTTTTTGAATGGTTTCATGCATATAGTCATGTTAATAGTGTCTTATGTGAACATGTTCTGCATTTATTTTCCCCAGGGTTTTTTTCTTTTTTCTTGAAAATCGTATTTGAATGTGTTGTCGGTGGGCAAATATGTTGTATGCACCCCTTCAATGTCAAATTTGAGTAGGAGGAGAGCTTTTGGCATCTAACTCAAAATAACTGCTTTCAGCAGATCAATCTTTATTCATAAACATTTATCATGCATAACATTCGATGCAAACCCCAAAAAAGTTGCATCTAGCTTATAATCTCTTAAATATGAAAACACAACAAATCCATTTGTCTTAAAGCGGTGGAACATGGTGCAGAACTAAGTGCAGCCGTTAAGTTTCCCCAACAGGGTATTGTGTATCAAAAAGTTAAATGAAAATAAATAAATAGAATGAAGAAAATATTATATTTATATAATAAAAAAGGTATACCTGAAAGAAAATTACGCATTTAACTGTTTGGTTACCAACATTCTGCAAATTATCTTCTTTTGTGCTCAACAGAAGAAAGAATCTCATAGGTTTGACACAATGATGACACAATTTCCATTTTTTGGGTGAACTTTCCCTTACATAAGCAGTTTTAGTATAAGTAGCCTACAGGTAGCCTACAAGGAGTACTGCTGTGAAGGTACAAGTAGTTTTGTAAACTTACGTAAACATATTTTCATACTATACTATATCACATATTTTATGAGTAGGCACATATTGAGTAGGTCAAATGGATTAACCCTGACAAAAGTCCTTTATTCATGAAATTAATGATTCTTTTGAAAATATATGATTATTTAAATAATTATCATGTGTAGGCTACACCCATGATTGTTTATTTATTTACTTATTATTGAACATGCAGGTATTTTCATTCTTAGAGGTGTGTTAGTTAAATGAAAATAAATAGAATGAAGAAAATATTATATCTATATAATTAAAAAGGTATACCTGAAAGGAAATTACGCATTTTTTAGGCCCATAGTATTCAGTGGCTGACTGTAGTAGGTGATTTCATATAATAATGTAAATTTAAACTCATTACTTGTCTGAATATTAATATTGTAATGGAATCATTAGTTACTAGTCATAAAAAGAATTTGGGTCCTTGACCAATTAGAATGAAACGCATCCAAACTGGATAAAGGGGCCTCAATATTTTGCCCCTTACAAGACATAGTCATAAAAGGGAGAAAAAGATAATCCCCCCCCAAAAGCAGACACAGAGGTGGGGCAGTAGAGCTGTGGAAACATTGCTCTCTCATCTCCTTTTGACAGATTTATTCCCCATCAAATTAAGGTCTACTGTACAGTAGAGATGTCAGTTAAAGGGTTAAGTTATGTTTTAGTGGGATATTATGAAAGCAAAAAGCACTAAACAAGACCAATAACCTTGATTTATTAACCTATTAACACCGTATACCCCATTTCCCCATGATATGTGCTTACAAGTCATTTGCCCACCGCCAACTATAGTTGCCGCTTGGACTTTTGACTAAGTATACAAAAAACTATAGATCTCCTGGAAGATTTGTTTTGTTTGGATGATTCTAGAGACCTTCATGATTATGTGCATATATATATATATGTCAACAAAAAAATACTTATTAGTAATATGAAAATGTATTTCTTTGGGAGGGTTTGCCTTCGCCATGCTTCCTGGAAGTAGGGGTAGGAAGTTGACAGCCTCATGTGACAGGAAGGAAGTGAATACCTTTTTATTTTTTTCTTGAAATCCTTTATTTGGTTGTTTGCTTGCATGTCATTGAGAAATAAAACCTGGATAACATCTAGAAAAATACTTACAAAAGGAAAATAACTATAAACTGCTGCATCTCTAGTTGCCGGTGGGCTTAAATGGGTTAACTGTTTACTTTCCACAAATTGAAGCTTTGCAAGTTTGCAAGACATTTGTGGCTGTACATTTGACAGCTGTCATAAATTAAAAAACAAATACGATCAAAGAGTTGCCTTTTTTTTTTCTTCTTTTTTTTTGTTAAACTATGCCACGAAGTGATTAGTCTACAAATGATTGTTTATTAAAAGAGTACTTATTTGATGTGATCAATAATGTGATTTTATTTATGCTTTTTAATGTTTTGTTACAGCGCAAGAAAATCACACATGGTTTTGCATCTGAAAATTTGAAGAGCATTAGTTTTGCGGATCAGCAATCACACACACGCACACAATGGTGAGTAGTGTGTAGTAGTTCTCTAATGATTCCTTACATTGTGATACAAACATTATATGAAATCAAACAGTGCTTTTACCATGTTGCCACAGTATAGCCTTCAGTAAGTCTAAAGTCTGCTGAAGCAATTGTTCATCAACCAGGCTTGACCTCAATCTGTCATGAGATTGTCAGCAGTGTTTAGCATTGTTGCATTGCTCAATAAATCAACTAATTGGGAAATGTACACCTTTAAGAAACTCTTGTTCAAATGTTGTAATCCATTTTTGTCTGTCGATTGACTAAGGCACTCAGGCGTGTGGAATGTTTTAAATAGAACTTCATTTTTTTTCACTAAATTCTACCAGACATTCCTCGGTGATTTTTATGTATTATAACTTTAACAGATTTATATTATGTATTTAAAGTGTTTCGCAAACCGTTGTAGCTAATCAGCCTCGAGCTTCTGAAGTTTTGTGCTACTATGCAGGTGTTTTTTTTTTTTATGACACTATATTTTGATAATGAAAACTGTGTCACATAAACACAGAATCAAATGGTGTTCGGGTTCACCCCCATTTCTTGTTTTTCAGGTGCGTGCGGGTGTCGTAGCGTTATGTGTCTGTCTGAATGTGTGTGGCGCTCTGATTTGTCCTGATGGAGGGATGTGTGAAGACGGAAGCACCTGCTGTCAAACTCCGTCAGGAGGATACGGCTGCTGCCCGCTACCCAACGTATGTGTATATGGTAGTTACACTACTGTTCAAATGTTTAGGGTCGGAAAGATTTTTATTTATTAATTTTTTTCTTCTGCTCACCAAGGCTGCATTTATTTGATCAAAAATGCAGTAAAATTGTTAAATAGTACAATTTAAAATATCTATTTTCTATTTTAACATATGTTGAGATGTGCAGTATATTATTTCTGTGATGCAAAGCTAAATCTTTAGCATCATTACTCCAGGATCATGTCACATGATCCTTCAGAAATCATTTTAATATGCTGATTTGCTGCTCAAGAAATATGTTTTTATTATCGTCAATTTTGAAAACAGTTGTGCTGCTTCATATTTTTGTGGAAACCATTTATTTGAAATATCTTCTGTAGCATTAAAATGTCTTTACAGTCACTTTTGATCAGTTTAATGCATCCTTGCTAAATAAAAGTTCTATATATATTTTTTTTTAAACACAACTCTTATTTAATACGTGCTTTATTAAAGGGATAGTTCAGCCAAATAGTTCTGTCTTGTATGACTTTTTCTTTCTGAACACAAATTTTCTTTTGTGTTCCATTAGTAGATAGAAATTGAGGATTTTTTTTCTTTGTGAACCATTCTGTTAAAGGAGTACTTCTATCAAAAATAGAAATAAAATTTGCTCAAAATGTACTACCTTCAGGCCATCCAAGATGTAGTTGAGTTTGTTTCTTCATCATAATAATACATTTGGAGGAATGTAGCATTGCATCACTTGCTATCCAATGGATCCTCTGCAGTGAACGGGTGCCGTCAGAATGAGAGTCCAAACAGCTGATAAAAATATCACAATAATCCACAAGTAATCCACACCACTCCAGTCCATCAGTTAACATCTTGTGAAGTGAAAATCTGCATTTGTAAGAAACAAATCCATCACTGAGACATTTTTAACTTCAAACTGTTGCTTCTGGGTAAAATACGAGTCCTCTATTCATAATATTGCTTTCTCCAGTGGAAAAGTCATCTCATCTGAATCAGGAGAGAAAAATGTACAGATCAAGCACCTTTTACAAGCGAAAAGAGTTCAAAACTATTCTAAATGGATATGTGGGTGGATTTTGATGTGAGGGGACAAAAGGGGGTGGAGTTTTTTTTTTTTCACTGGAGGAAGCGTTATTATGGATTATGGACTCATATTTTGTCCAGAAGCGACCGTTTAAAGTTCAAATGTCTTAATGATGGATTTGATTGATCGCAGATTTTCTCTTCACAAGATGTTCATTGATGGACTGGAGGGGTGTGGATTACTTGTGGATTATTGTGATTGTTTTTATCAGCTGTTTGGAGACTCATTCTGACGGCACCCATTCACTGCAGAGGATCCATTGGTGAGCAAGTGATGTAATGCTAAATTTCTCCAAATCTGTTCCCATGAGGAAACAAACTCCATCTACACCTTGTTTGGCCTGAGGGTAAGTACATTTTTATTTTTGGGTGAACTATTCCTTTAAGCACAGTAAACAATGTGCACATTTATATCAAATGACTCTTGTTTTGTATGCGTGTTTGTAGGCAGAATGCTGCTCCGATCACTTGCATTGCTGTTATCAGGGTACTCTGTGTGACCTGGTACACTCCAAGTGTGTGAACAAGACACACATTTTAGACTGGGTGGAAAAAGTCGCCACAAAGCAGGTAACATGCATACCTGCACAGCCACAAATTCAGATAAGCCTTGAGTAAATATTCAGCATTGAAATAAATCTCTCTCTCTCTCTTTTTTTTGTGTGATTTTTAGCAAGCTGTAATTTGTCCAGATCAGGAGTCTGAATGTCCCGATGACACCACCTGCTGCCAGATGCCTGATGGCAGCTGGGGCTGCTGTGCTATGAAAAATGTATAGCACCTGTTTGACCATATTTTTATTCTGGAATGCGTTTACATGTACATGGTAATGTTTACATTTGTCTTTCTTACTGTTTGTATGTGTGTTCAGGCCGTGTGCTGTGAAGATAAGAGACACTGCTGTCCTCAGGGAACTAAATGTGACCTCGAGCATTCAAGGTGTGTGTCGGCAACATATGGGCCCTCCCCACTCTGGAGGAAGTTCGCTGCCCGTCACAGGAATCCATCAGAGAGGACAGCAGGTATGATGGTTTCTCAGTTTTACATTTCATTAGCATTAAAGGGATAGTTCACCCAAAAATGAAAATTAACCCATGATTTACTCGCCCTCAATGCATCCTAGGCGTATCTGACATTCCTCTTTCAGACTAACACACTCGCAGGTATATTTAAAATTTCAAGCTGTATAATGGCAGTGAATTGTGCCCCTGTTTTTAAAGCCAAAGCCAAAAAACTGCATCCATTCATCATAAAACTACTCCACATGGCTCCGGGGTGTTAATAAAGGCCTTCTGAAGCAAAACGATGCGTTAGTGTGAGCTTACGTTGCGCCTGGCGCTACGCCTACGTCATACGCTTGAATGTCTTTTTGTGAATGCGCCTGTGAGCGACCGGAAGCTGGAGATTACAGTTTATAATTGTTTAAAAATCTATATTTTTCTCACATTAACGCATCTTTTCACTTCAGAAGGCCTTTATTAAGACCCCGTAGCCATGTGGAGTAGTTTTATGATGAATGTATGCCGTTTTTTTCGGCTTCAAAAACAGGGGCACCATTTACTGCCATTATACAGCTTGGAAGAGCCAGGACAATTTTAAATATAACTGCAATTGTGTTCATCTGAAAGAGGAATGTCAGATACGCCTAGGATGCCCTGAGGGTGAGTAAATCATGGGCTAATTTTCATTTTTGGGTGAACTATCCCTTTAAATTGCATTGTGGCCAACTTAATGTTGTTATAAGCATAATGCACTCTTGTTCAAAAGTTTGGCATCTGTAAGATTTGTAATTTTTTTTCATGTTTATGGAAGAAGTTTCTTCTGATCACCAAGGCTGCATTTATTTGATCAAAATGCATTAAAAACAGTAATATTGTGAAATATTATTACCGTTTAAAATATCTTTCTATTTGAATATATTTTAAAATGTTATTTATTCCTGTGATTCATAGCTGTATTTTCAGCATCATTACTCCAGTCTTCAGTGTCACGCGATCCTTCTGAAATCATTCTAACCTGCTGATTTGCTGCTCAAGAAACATGTCTTATTATTATCAGTACTGGAAACAGTTGTGCTGCTTCATATTTTTGGGGAAACTGTGACAGTTTTTTTTTTCAGGATTCTTGAGAACAGCATTTATTTGAAATAGAAATCTTTTATAACCTTATTATAAATGTCTTTACTGTCTCTTTGGATCAATTTAATGCATCCTTGCTGAATATAATAGTATTAATTTCTTTAATCATCTTACTGATCCTAACCTTTTTTAACAGTAGTGCATATTTAAGCCATATTTGTTCACTGAAGCAAAAAAAGGTATAATCTTTCATAAAATGACTTCAAGTTCTTTTTATGAATTAGTAGAATATCATTGCTTTAAATTTGCTGGTCATTTTCACACCAGCTGATTTATGGGTGTTATTATGATATTGCAGCTGTTCCACCTACAGACTCCAGTGATATTAGAGATGGTAAGACTCTCTGACACCTGCAGTTGTTTTGGTCCATAAGCCCTATTTTATGTATTATTTATTTCTATATACATTATTCATCAAGTGTCTTTGTTGAAACTGGCACCTCAGGTTTCTGTGTGTGTTTATGTGGTCAGTGATCTGCCCAGATAAGATTTCCACATGTCCGGAAGATACAACATGCTGTGAACTAGAGGCCGGAAGTTACGGATGCTGCCCGATGACGAGGGTGCTTCATATTTGTCTACATGTATATTTAATAATTTTTCTGTAGGTTTTGTAAGTTGTATTTTATGGTCACCCTGTAGTTTGCATGCATTTTGATCACTCTAAGATTGAGTTAACAAGCATAAATGTGTTTTTGCTGTAGGCTGTGTGTTGTTCTGATCATGTGCACTGCTGCCCAGAGGCCACGACTTGTGACCTTGTCCATAGTATGTGTGTGTCAGCTAATGGTGTCATGGTAAAGATGGCCACTAAGATCCCAGCCACTTCCCTGAAGCACAAAGGTAAACATCCATTTATTTATTTTTATCTTTGTACAGTTAAAAGCTTTTATCCTCATAGCCCAGACCATTTTGTATTGTGAGATCCATAATTTGTGTGTGTTGAATTCTATTTTTGCCCTCTTGGTTCGATATATAATATGCATCAGTCCATCTTTTTATTGCTCTTCCTGTCTGCAGAAAAACTAGTTCCCTGTAATGAAACAGTAGCGTGTGCTAGCGGTACCACCTGCTGCAAAACACAAGAAGGCACCTGGGCTTGCTGCCCTTTACCGAAGGTACTCATGTTGTCAGCTTTATTTCAAAAACAGCTTCAGGTTGATTGTGGCCCATGTTTTATACATGTGAATACCCAGCCCCTAACAAAAGTTCAAATCTTCAATTTTTATTGGAGGAAAACATAAAAAAAAAGTGTTTCGAGTAATGTTGTCCTCACCTCCAGGCGGTGTGTTGTGAGGACCATGCCCACTGCTGTCCACAGGACACGGTGTGTAACCTCGCGGCGAGCACCTGTGATGATCCTGCTGACCTTTCAGTGTCCGTACCCTGGATGGTAAAGGTGCCCACCTTTCCAATAGCTTCACCCAATCAGAAATGTGATGAGACTTCTTCGTGCCCTGATGGTTCTACTTGCTGCAGACTATCATCTGGAAAATGGGCATGCTGCCCTCTGCCACAAGTAACACTTTTTCTTTGTCTCATTTGAACATTTACAGGCTAATTGGTAAAACTCTTATTAAAAATGTATATAAATGTATTTGTTTAAAAATGTGAAGTAAATATATTTAATTTTATATTTATTATATCTAACTTTATTTTGTTTATTTTATTTAATTTGTTTATTTTTTATATTTGTTTTTTTAATCACATCTTTATTTTTGTATTTTATATTTCTTATGATTTATTTTTATTTTATATATCTTTACCATTTATTTATTTTCATGTGATGTTTAAAAAATGTTTGTATTTAATGTTTGTTTTATTTTACTTCTAACATAGATTTTTATATATATATTTTTTTTATATTTATTTTTATTTCGGATTTATTGTCATTTGTTTATTTATTTCTTTAAATAAATATACAATAAAAATATTTTATTTAATGTTTGTTTTGTTACATTTCTCACATTTTAATTATTTATATATATTTTTTTTAATATAAATATAAAATAACTTTTTATTTTTGTTTTATATTTGTTTATTTTATTTATTTAAATTATATATTTTAAATGTTGTATTGATTTAAATTTCTAGGCAGTGTGTTGTGAGGACCATCTCCATTGTTGTCCCCACGATACTGTGTGTAATTTGGCCGCCAGCACTTGTGACAGTTCCAACGATCAGGGTCCCCGTCTTTCTGTGCCTTTGGTGAAGAAGATCGCCGCAGTGAGCCTGCCATCACTGAACCAAAACTGTGACGAGACATCGCTGTGTCCAGCTGGGACAACCTGCTGTAGACTAACCTCAGGGTCATGGGCCTGCTGTCCTATGCCACAGGTACAAACACATTTAGGGGTTTAGACTAGCGTTTAGCATTTAGATACGATAAAGCGCAGTATTTTTTTTTTGTTCAGAAAAATTAATATGAATGCTTTTTGTTTGCTGATTGGCTGTGGTTGGTTTGGACGTTACATTTCTAAAAAGTTTATTCAACGCTCATAAATACAGCCTCTATTCTCGCGGCTTTTTTTTTTTTTTTTTGCTCCTAGGGAAACTAATGATAATGATATTTCAAGTCAAATCAAATATGACACTTTTTAAAATAATATATGGGTTAATGTGGGCTGTTATATATGGGTTAAAATACATGCTTTTAAAATATACATTATAAATGAAATATACTGTAGCTTATAATATACACCACCATTCAAAAAAAGGTCAGTAAGATATATTTTTTAATGGCTTTGAAACCGATCTCTTCTGCTCAGTAAGGTTGCATTTATTTGATCAAAAAATACAGTAAAAACAGTAAATCTACAATTTGAACGAACTGCTCTCTATTTGAATATATTGAATATATATATATGCCTGTGTGGATAATTGAATTTTGCAGGCCGTGTGCTGTGCCGATCAGGAGCATTGCTGTCCGCAGAGCTACAACTGTGACTTGACTCACAAAACCTGTGTACGTTCTGGCCTTCCCAGCATGCCCTGGTTCAGGAAACAGTCTGCGCTGAAGCAGTCTGATGATAATACTCCAGTGGACAGACACATGTGTGACGATAAAACCAGCTGTCCTAAAGACGATACATGCTGCTTTATGAACAACCTCGGCAAGTGGGGCTGCTGTCCGCTGCCAAAGGTCAGACATGCAAATGTTAGAGTATATAATATTAAACCATTCACTCATTCACTATTTAATACAATGTAAATGCCACATGTGAGCCTTAAATTATCACAAATGAGTCAACTCGGAGTTATAGATACCATAGTATATTTAGTATTATTTTATTTGTTATATTAGGGTTATTTGGTTTGTTTATTTATGAATTTTATTTTATTTAGTTATTTATTATTGTAAAGTTGTGTTTTGTATAGGTATTTAGTTTGTATTTAAATTGTTATTATTTGTTATTTATTATTATTATTATTATTATTCTTTGTTTGTTTAGCTATTTCATTTATTTTAAGTGAAGTATTTTTATTTTGTTGTTTTATTTGTTATTTTATGGTTATTAGATATTTTTGATATTTAGTTATTTATTAAAGTTATTGGTTATTTTGTTGTTTTATTTGTTTGCTTGGAAAAAGTGTATTTTTATGTTGCGTTTTAATCAAAGATGATGACTGCTGAATTCAGCATGCAACATAATGTAGCATACTGCCATTTACATTTTAGTTTTTTTTTTTGTTGCCTATTGAGTACTGTTTTACGTACAAAACAATAGTAGGCAGTGTATATAGTACTCCATTATGAAAACAATTCTGACACTGTCGTTTCCTCTCTTTTAAGGCGGTGTGTTGTAAGGATGGAGATCACTGCTGTCCTAGCGGCTACACTTGTAATGAGAAGAAAACGTCCTGCACTAAAGCCTACCATGAGATCCCCTGGTACACAAAACAAGAGGCCAGGGTCGTGAAGGGGTCAGAGGTGCTGTTTGGAGATGAAGATGAGAAGTGCGACTCGACGACCAGTTGTGCATCTGGTTCTACCTGTTGTAAATTACCCACAGGGCAGTGGGGCTGTTGCCCTCTTGTCAAGGTAAGTCTTTTGGCTATGCAGTTTATTTTATCCCTGTATGTCATGCAAAAGTTATTTTTCCGTCTGACTTGTTTGAGTAGCTCAGGGGTTGTTGTCATGTGTTTTCTCTCGGCAGGCGGTGTGTTGTGAGGATCACGAGCACTGCTGTCCACAGGGCTACACCTGCAACCTCGAATTTGGAACCTGCGTTAAACCGTCCGGTTCTCACAGTGTTCCTCTGACACGATTACAGACACACACTGACACACATTCAGAAGAGGAGGTGCTGTGTGACGCGTCGACATGCTGCTTAAAGACACAGAGCTGCTGTAGACTATCAGACTCCACATGGGCCTGCTGTCCATATAAAGAGGTAACAAAAATCAGGGCTGACACGAATAGATTCTGTATTTGGCATGAAATCCAATGATTATTTTTCTGTGATGTCTGATATTATTAGTGGTGCTTGCTAAAGAAAGCATCACTATCACTGTTTGTTTTGGTTAGTTATTTGTGTACTGAAATTTTTATTTATTTAACATTTCATTTGTTTACTGTAATGTTTATTTTATATGTATACATTTTTTAGGTATTTTGTTTACTGAAATAACATTTGGTTTATTTATTTTTATATTTGTTTTAGTTATCTTTTTCATTTATTGTTTAATGAAATTATGATTTAGTATATATTTATTGTTTTTATTTAATTTAGTTCTCTTTAGTTTACTGAAATGTTTATTTATTCATTAATTTTAATTTATTTGGTTACACTTTAGTATAGGGACCAATTGTCACTATTAACTAGTTGCTTATTAGCATGCCTATTGTTAATATATTGGCTGTTTATTAGTACTTATAAAGCACATATTCTACATCCCTAATCCTACCCAATACTTAAACTTAACAACTACCTTACTAACTATTAATAAGCAGCAAATTAGGAGTTTGAGGCAAAAATCGTAGTTAATGGTTTGTTAGTTAGATTTGGACCTTAAAATAAAGTGTGACCATTAATTTATATCTTATTTAGTTATCTGTTTTTCTATTTGTGTTTACGGAGTTGATTTCATTTATTTTTCATTTGTTGTGTTTACAAAAAATGTTTTACTTATTGAGCATACTCGTTTATTTATGTATTGCTTTTATTTAATTTTACATTTGTTTACTTAAACATACCTATTTATTTATTTATTTATATTTTTAGTATGTTTACTGAAATTTCTGTATTTATTGTTTTATGTAATTATCACGTGTTCGTTGAATTTTTTTTTAATTTGTGTTTACAGAATATTGCATACATTCATAAAGTGAAATCATTACTACTGATTGTTGCTCTCTCTTTTTGTAGGCAGTGTGCTGTGAAGACATGAAGCACTGTTGCCCTGTGGGATACAAATGTGACCCAGAATTCCAAGGCTGCACTAAAGCTTCCACATCTATGTGGTGGGAGAATTCACTTTAAATGGAAAAACCACAGACTGACACTGAACCACATGTCCATAACACAAATATACATCCATCCACACACACACTCGAGTGCTTAGACACGCTACATGTTGCATAAAGCATGGTTTTAAGATGCCCTCTTCAGACAAGGGACTATGCATCTAGTGTTTTTTAATATTTCGCTTTTACTACAATAAAAACATTATATTTGAGCAGGATACACTGAGAGATTTTAGTTTTTGATTTAAATCAATTTTGTTGAAAGGAAACCAGGACATATTTCAAATGCTAGTAACTCATTTGAAAGGAACACTCCACTATTTTTGAAAATAGGCTCATTTTCCAACTCCCCTAGAGTTAAACAGTTGATTATATTTTTAGTATGTTTACTGAAATTTCTGTATTTATTGTTTTATGTAATTATCACGTGTTCGTTGAATTTTTTTTTTAATTTGTGTTTACAGAATATTGCATACATTCATAAAGTGAAATCATTACTACTGATTGTTGCTCTCTCTTTTTGTAGGCAGTGTGCTGTGAAGACATGAAGCACTGTTGCCCTGTGGGATACAAATGTGACCCAGAATTCCAAGGCTGCACTAAAGCTTCCACATCTATGTGGTGGGAGAATTCACTTTAAATGGAAAAACCACAGACTGACACTGAACCACATGTCCATAACACAAATATACATCCATCCACACACACACTCGAGTGCTTAGACACGCTACATGTTGCATAAAGCATGGTTTTAAGATGCCCTCTTCAGACAAGGGACTATGCATCTAGTGTTTTTTAATATTTCGCTTTTACTACAATAAAAACATTATATTTGAGCAGGATACACTGAGAGATTTTAGTTTTTGATTTAAATCAATTTTGTTGAAAGGAAACCAGGACATATTTCAAATGCTAGTAACTCATTTGAAAGGAACACTCCACTATTTTTGAAAATAGGCTCATTTTCCAACTCCCCTAGAGTTAAACAGTTGAGTTTTACCGTTTTCGAATCCATCCAGCCGATCTCCGGGTCTGGCGGTAGCACTTTTAGCTGCAGCTTAGCATAGATCATTGAATCTGATTAGACCGTTAGCATCTCGCTCAAAAATGACCAAAGAGTTTAGATATTTTACCATGGGTGCAGCAGGCGCAATGATATTACGCAGCGCCTGAAAATAGTCCCAGCTTGGTAACTTCCAGTAAGCCTATTTTCAGCCGCTGTGTAATATCATTGCGCCTGCTGCACCCATGGTAGTTGTCATTTTTATTTTTAGTATTTAATATATTTTTTTAAATCCTATTTAGCTTTATTTTTTATTTCAGTTATCAAAATTGAGCTCATAATTATTTTTTGTCACTTTTGATCACTTTAAGTAATTCTCGCTGAATAAAAATATTAGTTTTATCACAAATAATCATAACAAAATGAAATAAAATCTTACCGACCCCAAACTTTTGTTTAAATTGTTGCATAACTATCCTGAGTGTGTTGACTAGGTGTGAATGCTGTATGTAATGAAGGCACTCTGAGCATGCGTTGAGATATTGAAGGAGCTCAATCACTGTCGGACAGTTTAACAACAGCAAAAACTCAGTGGAAATCAAAATTCAAGATGGAGAAGGTAAAGAGACTGACAAAAATTACAAGAATGTTGGACTCTGATAAATGATCCGGTGTGAGAAAGTGTGAAAGGGTGAGAGCGGGACAGCTGAAGGGAAGCGGGAGACACGCAGCTTCAAACATGCCAAAATGTCACTGCTATTAATACACCTCAGCAACTGCTCTCCAATCAGCACACACCATCTCACAGTGTGTGTGTACATCAGCAAGTGTGAGCAAAATGATGGCTTCAGGTTCCTCCCACCTAAAAAGCTTGGTATCTGCCCCAGTTATATTACTGAGCTGCATTTCTTTTGATTTTTTTTAGTTGAGAGGACAGAGGAATGGCCATAACGACCATGTCTGACTCCAGCAGGCTTACAGAGGTGTCTACACTGGCTTATCTGGACGAAGGGACCTCAACGTCAGACACAGAGTGTGGAGAGGAGCCTGATCTCCAGCCAAGAGCTCTGGAGGAACCAGAAGACACTGGAATATCAGACATCGTGTCGAGGGGTGAGAGAGGACAGTCGCTTTAGAGGTTAATGAGTTCAAGAGAGGATGTCAATCACGTTTCAGACAGTAGGAGATCTACAGTCTTAGAAATTAAGGTTCTTCAGTGGTTCTTGGCAGGAACTTCCTACCAGGAATAGTCTAGTTGGATATGTTTTTTTGTTATTGTGGAGATTAATAAAGTTCTTGATGTTACATTATAGGTTAATCAGATCGGCATATCGTAGTAACAAGGTTAAGTCTTTGCTGTTTTAGTATTATTTATTTATATTGTTTTATAATGTTTACTAACATTTTAATAATTTTTAGATGTTCAGTTTTCATTTCAATTTCAGTTTAAATTTTTTGTTATGTGCTTTTATCATTTTTATTAGTTGCTTTTTAATATTTCTATTTAGCTTTAATTAATTTTAAAAAAAGTAATTTTAGTTCTTCAAAAACTTACTTATAGACTTAAAAATAACTTAAACCTATTTTATTTTTTTAATTTGATTAAATTTGAGTAATTTTGTTACATGCCTTTATCATTTTGTATTCGTTTTTTATTTTACTGTTTAACTTTACTTTTAATTTCTCTTTTTGATATAGTAATTTCAGCACTTTTATAATAAGTTTTTTTTTAAATGATAATTTTTATATTTTCAGTTTTCATTTTAATTTCAATTTAGTTTGTTTTAATCATGTTGCTATGTGCTTTTGCAATTTTTATTATTAGTAGTTTTTATTTGAGTCATTCTCAATAACTTTTTTTATATAAATTTAAAAACAACAACGTATTTTCTTTTAGAAAGTTGCCAAGACAACATTTCAAAATTTTTTTTACGTTTTTTTTTATTTTGAATTTGATTTAATTTGATTTCAGCTTTTTTTTCAATTAACAAAAAAACATTTGTAATAGTTTTATTTTCTGGTTTTATGAGAGAATGTGCATTGTTTAAATGACAGTATATATAGAGAAGATACTGTAGTTGGTAGATTTGATTTATGTGTTAATATTTATGTTTTAAGTGATGTTGTAAATGTATTTTCAGCTGAGGAATATCAAACGTATGGCTTTACAAGTTTAGAAGACAACAACATCCAGTCGTGCATCAGCAACAGGTTTACACACTGTGATTCTTTCCATTTACTTTTATTGAAATAACAGGTTAATGGATCCATCGATCCATGTAACTGCTTTGTTTACCACGGTAATTCATAGGTCAGATGTGTCATTCCCTTCAAGTGAGAGAGAGAAGAAATCTACAGCTTGCTGCCTCAGAAAACATCACAGGAAACACGGAACAGAGATTAAAGACACGAGGAAAACGAGGGGGACGTGTAGACAAGACAGAGCAAGAACAAGAAGAAATGCTCCATTACTTTCTGACCAGAAGACCAGCGGCTCCTCAAGATGCTCCAAACCAAGCACTGAAGATCAAGACAAGTTCTCCTCGACACCTCAACCTCAGCAGGTCACTCCGGATCTCCATCTGTGGGATTGTCCTCAAGATGTTTCCCGTATACGCCTTCAAAAGCTGGAGGTCGACTTCCCTTCGACCTTTGAGTCTCACAGTTTGATATCTGACGGTGTGGAACCAAACTTTGACTCTGAGTTTGCATATATCTATGCTGAGAGCATCAAGGGATGTGACTCTACTTGTTGCACGACTCCAGGAGACTGTAATACCCACAATCCTCTTGTCAAAACTGATACAAGCCCTGAAAGAGACCCTGAATCTGTCTGGAACAGCTTTGAGGAAGAATCGGAAGACTCGGATTGTGATTTATATATGTTTGCTTGCAGTTTAGCAGCTACTGCAGGTTCCAGGTTGAACGCTGACTGCTTTGGGTCTTTACTAGATGATTTTGACTCGACTTGTATTTATACAGACTGGGAAAGGACAGAAACCGAGCAGGGTTACAGTCCAGCCGAAGCGGAGTGGTCCTCTGAGAGTTCATGTTCCCCCGCCGACTGTGACTCTTACTGTACCACAGACAGACAAACCAGCAGCTCAGATTCAGACAGCTGCCGTTTAGAGGCTCTCGGTGACATCAAATGTCCTGAAGTGTTTTTGCCGGGATTTGAAGGTTGCTTTGACTGCTGTGATGCAGCTGAAGATGTCTGCAGAGACACAGAGAGCGATCCTGAGTCTTTTTGCTCCAGACGGGATACAGCTGAACTGTGCGGTGTTGTGACTCAAATGGACCGACGGCATTTCTCTGAGTTTTTCTGTGAGATGATTAAAGAAGTGACGCAGGAGAAAATGAATGTAAATGAGGGGTTTCTGTTCCACCCTAAGCAGGTGTGTGACTAAAGTCATTAATGCAGATGAAAGTGAAAAGTGACATGTGGCCAAGTATGGTGACCCATACTCGGAATTAGCGCGATTGCATTTATCCCATTCAAAGTGCACACACAGCAGTGAACACACACACACAGTGAACACACACACGGAGCAGTGGGCAGCCATTTTTTTGCTGCGGCGCCCGGGGAGCAGTTGGGGTTCGGTGCCTTGCTCAAGGGCACCTCAGTCGGGGTATTGAAGGTGGAAGAGAGCACTGTACATTCACTCCCCCCACCTACAATCCCTGCCGGTACGAGACTCGAATCCGCAACCTTTGGGTTACGAGACCGACATATTCATATATGTACATAAAGTGGGCAAAATAATAAGGTATTGCCTGATATTGGATATTTAATTGTTCATGCTCATTTACCATATTTTTACATTTAGATAACCTTTGCCATATGATGATTTTAATGTTTTATTTTTAATTTAGATAACCCATACAGCAAAAAATATTGTCAGATATATTTAAATGTTTCAAACTATGCAAAAAATATAGTGCTAATATACTGCCAATATATATTAAATAATACTATTTAATAATATATATGTATATAATAATAACATATTTACATAAATATATTCTCATATATTTTTGGACATTTTTTTAAATAAACAAATATAAATAAATAAATATATATATACACACACTACCGGTCAAAAGTTTGGGATCAGAATGATTTTTAATGTTTTTACATGAGTCTTTTATGCTCATCAAGGCTGCATTTATTTGATCAAAAATACAGGAAATAAATTAATATTGCGAAATATTATTATGATGTAAAATAACGTTTTCTATGTTAATATACTTTAAAATATAATTTATTTCTGTGATGCAATGCTGAATTTCCATCAGCCATTACTCCAGTATAAAGTGTCATATGATCCTTCAGAAATAATTCTAATATGCTGATTTATTATCAGTGCTGGATTATTATCAGCTGTTGTAATATTTAATATTTTTTGGAACCTGTGATACTTTTTTTCAGGATTCTTTGATGAATAAAAAGTTAAACAGAAGAGCATTTATTTAAAATAGAAATCTTTTCTAACAATATACACTACAGTTCAAGAGTTTGGGGTCAGTCAATTTTTATTCTTTCTTTTTTTGAAAGAAATTAAAACTTTTATTCAGCAAGAATGTGTTAAATTGTTAAAAAAGTGATAGCAAAGATTTATATTATTAGAAAAGATTTATATTTTGATCTTATCTTATATGCTATCTTAGGCAGATAAACTTTTTAATGTATATATTTCCAATAAACTCATAATTTACTGCAGTTTTCACGGAGCACATAATTTCTTAGTTCCTCCAGGTGAAGAACTCTGAATATAGAGAGGGACGTGAATATTCATTTCTCCATCACATTCAAAATGGCTCATATGGAGACGTCTTCAGCATTCGGGACAAACAAACAGGATTTACATGTGCCGCCAAAAAGGTAAATATATCCATTTCTTATCCAATTACATATAAGCCTAAATACAGGTGCATCTCAATAAATTAGAATGTCATGGAAAAGTTCATTTATTTCAGTAATTCAACTCAAATTGTGAAACTCGTGTATTAAATAAATTCAGTGCACACAGACTGAAGTAGTTTAAGTCTTTGGTTCTTTTCGACATTCTAATTTATTGAGATGCACCTGTATGTCTGAATATTCTTGCATGCACTATTTTTTGGACAAAGTTTTTGAATGTGAGAACCTGTGACTCTTTGATTGTGTCCTAACTGATCCAATGCACTGCTCTCTTGTGAAGATTCCCCTTTGTAGTTTTAGGTGGGAGGAAGTGGAAACATGGAGCAGGATGGAGTCTCCTCGTGTCCTCCAGCTGTATGGGGCCGTGAGAGAGGGGTCCAATGTAATTCTCTTCATGGACCTGAAAACAGGTGATTGCTTCTACCAATGGACGCCTTGGAAAGCAATCAAGTCATATCTGAGTCAATAAATTCTCTCTTTCCAGGTTCTTTAGCTCAGTTGCTGAGAGTGAAGGGTTGTCTGTCTGAAGAACTGGCTCTGTATTATCATTCTCAGGTCCTGCAGGCTCTCCAACACCTGCACGGCAGACGCGTCGTACACCTGGATGTCAAAGGTCAGCGGCACGGCCATTGTCATGGATTTTCATCACCAAAAAAATCACTGATTGTGCCTTGATGTCATTCACGTGTCGATTTTATGTGTAGTTGACAACGTGTTGCTGTCTGAGGATGGCAGACAGTGTTTTCTGTGTGATTTTGGACTCTCTGAGACACTCAATCAGGGTGGATACAGCACCAAAACCTTCAGAGGTGACTATACACACACACACACATACACACACCAGCATGCATGCCTACTCTGAAGTGTGATTTATAATGTGTGTGGTATGTGCAGGGAACATTCTGCGTGGCACAGAGTCTCACATGCCGCCGGAGGTGGCGAGGGGTGATCCTCGCTCTGCTAAAGCTGACATCTGGAGCAGCTGCTGTATGTTACTGCATATGCTCAACGGACACCAGCCCTGGACGCGATACTACCCTCATCCACTCTATCTGAAGGTGCAGTGAGCATGCATTTGTCACTTTAGATGCACTATCAGTCAAAAGTGTAACTAGGACTGTTGCTTTTGACTCTACATGGTATGCTTGTGTCTACTGTATGAAACTGTTGTGCTATGATCGTCAGATTGTGAGTGAGCCGCCTCCTTTATGGGAGATTCCACCTGACTGTGACCCGCTGACCTGTGACGTCATCAAAGGGGGACTGGTTAAGGAGCCGAGAGAGAGACATTCGGCATCAGAACTGCTGCAAAAAACTGTGAAAGCACTCAGAACAGGTATAAAACAATTTTTGCATGGTTAAAAAAACATGATGAAATGTGTATAACATAAGTAATTCTAACGTCAATACAGTAAAAACGGTAATATTGTAAAATATTACAATTCAAAAGTACTGTTTTCTATTTAAAGATATTTTGTTATTTATTCCTGTGATGCAAAGCTGAATTCAGCATCATTACTCCAGTCTTCAGTGTCACATGATCCTTCTCAAAATAACAGTCTGATCATTATAATAGCTGTACTGTCACTTTTGATCAATTTAGTGCATTCTAAATAAATTATTAATTAAAAAAATCTTCCTGACCTCAAACTTACATTAAACTCTTGATTTTATGCATATTTAGTATGTGGTAAACAATATTCAGCACCTGTGCTCGAAGACTGTCCCAATTTGAACTTGCATGAGACACCTGTCCTATCCATCGTGGAAACTCCAGTGAAAACAAGTCCTCCTAGTTTCCCAGAAGACCTCTCAGCACCTACAATTCACTGGGTGAGCACATGGAGACAGATGGCACCAAACGAGGATGATTCTGACTCCACGACGGAGGAGAGCGAGTGGGATGAAGATGCAGATATCAACAAATTAAAAAGAGACAAGATGAGCAGCTGGATGGACAGATACTGGGGTGAGGAGGAAAATAATAAGAAACAAATCTATTCAGAAGATGACAGAGAGCTCGAATCTGATGAAGACACATCACAGATCAATGAAAATCTCAAAGCAACAGATCAAACAGATGCTGAAGAAAGCAAAACCGATTATTTCACTGAAAAAAGAGTTGTGTTTGGGGGGTGCGGTGAATGTGACAGAAGTCTTTTAGAGGAATCAGAGAGCTGGGATGGAGAGATCCGAAGCGTTGTGGATGATGAGGAGGTGGAGAGTGATTTGGAGAGTCTTCGAGAGCTTGGCAGCGATTGGGCGCAGGAGTGGGAGCCGTTTCTACAGCTCCAGACACTTTATCACCCGAAAGAAGCTCAACTGCAGAGCGAAGACAGCTATTCGGAGTCTGAAGAAGAGTCGGTCATGCTGAGGAAGAGTGGTGAGTTTTTGTTTGTTGTGTGTGAGCTTGATTTGATTCAAACTAAATTTCTGTCCATTTCTTCTGTTTTCTTTCTTTTATGGACTGCAATAGAGGTTTAACAGAATGTTGCTTTTATTTTCCATGCAATGAAATTGAATGTGAAAAATCATAAAAAGCAGCAGTCTGTATGACTTATGCACTACAATCTTAAAAATAAAAGTTCTTTATTGGCATCTATGGTTCCATGAAGAACCTTTAACATCCATGGAACCTTTCCATAGGATAAAAGGTTATTTGAAGTGGAAAAATAATCTTCAGATTATTTAAAAATGTTCTTTACACTAAGAAAAATGCATCCGTTTTTGATTGGATATCGAGATGGGGGTGTGGCACTCAAAAATGAATTAAGTAGATTGTGGAGGGGCGGGGTTTAAGCAGATTAAATGATTGGAGAAATCCGTCATACATCACCAGAGGAGGTGTGTAAATAATGTTATCTGAGTAACTTGAGGACCATGATTTTGCCACGTCGGATATGTTCTGGATCAACGTCCTTGGTCAACAACACTTAAGAATAAAGGTTCTTTACTGGCGTCTGTGGTTCCATGAACAACCTTAAACATCCATGGAACATTTCCATTCCACAAAATGTTCTTTATAGTGTAAAATGATTTTTTTTCTTTTTTGAAAAGAACTGTTCAATGAAAGGTTATTTTTGGAAGCCTAAATGGTTCTTCTAAGGCATTGTTGTGAAAACCCTCTTTTGAAGCCTTTATTTTGACCATTCAACATTTCAATCTACCAATCTGATTCTACAGATAAGGAAAAAAGTAGGTTTAGGTGCTTCAATAGGTTCTTAATTTCCCTCTGATTCCCCAATATTTTGCTTGTGATTTACATACACCTTTGCAGCATTTCTGTGTCTTAAACATTTTACGAAATGCATCAAACAGCAAATGTAGGTCAAAAGTTCTGATACAGAGCTCAAGTTGTGTCAGAGTTGTACAGAACTGAATGTCAAGCACTTTTATGCAACATTACTGAGTTCCTATTTGTTCTCCACAGAACAAAAAGGCACAGGTTTACCTGATTCTAATGGGACGCAACCTCTCACCTGCACCAGCTTCTTTTACTCTGAGCAAGACATTAGCGATGAGGTAAACCTACAGACAGAATCATGTGAAGGTTTTATGAAGGTTATTGTGCCAGAACATCAAATTAACCCAATGTTATTGTTTTAAAGGACTCTGATGATTTAAGCTCGGGGGTCTTTTCCTCCTGTAGCACCACAGATGGCCATAGCTTCAATGTGGATTGGTCAGTGTCAACTGACCAAACGCCGTCTTGCTTCTTTGAAGGTAAGTTTAATCAGTTAAGTGCAATTTCAGGTGCTTATGTAAGTTTGTGTGTATTGATTTGGGTATGTGTGCAGGTCTTGGTGTGGATATATGGGTGGAAGATGTAAGCGGAGAGAGTTTAAAGATCAGAGAGAGGCCACAGGTGAAAATCGGACACATTGCTGTGGGAATCAGTGAACAGGTGAGATTCCGCTATAAAGATTTCACATCTTTCATGTGAGAAGAGATTGTAAAACGGTGCATTAAAACAGTATTTATTTCTATATCACAGATATCTCTGAGGACATTCAGTTTGGCCACCCTAGACGGGCGTCTGGTGTCTCCGGACACAGAAGTATGCGAGTCGGGCATGTGGCTGCAGTGCGTTCCTGCTTCTGACGGCAGTCTCAGCTGGGATTGGAGGGTCAGAGATGGAAAACTAGAGCTGCGAGAATATGATGAACATTCAGATACCTGCTCAACAGTGGCACTCTAGCAAAAGTGACCATTACAAACAAACAGAACCGGAGTTTTATACATCTCATTCCATTATTGTTGTGCTTTATGATGCTAACTTCATTTGTCACTTCATGCATTTGTTGTGTTTGATTCAATTTAAACATTTTCAAATTTGTCTCAGTTGACTAAGCTTAATCCTAATGTGTCAAATTATACAATTATTTTGATGCAAATGTAAAGGTACATTGTAAATTTGTTGTGTTGATAGTTTTGTTAGGAAGACAACACCTAATTTCAGTGTTATACATAATATACACTGTATAAATACTTTTATATAAAATACATAAATGTATTTTGTGCATGAAAACAAACGCTATTTCAATGATATGCAATGTAAACTAAGACGTGTACAGTCACTACAATAAATCGGAAGTTCTTACTTCCTCATTTCCCAAATCCAACCGGATCTGTCAATCATTCTGATTGGACCGCACTCGTAGAAGGCGGGATTAGGCATTGTTCTCCTTTTCTGATTGGACTGCTTTGTGTGATGGGCGGGGCTTGTCAAGCCGGTGCGTTGAGTTGCGTTATACGCCATTTTGCAGTGACAGTCAGCGGTGCGCTAAAGCAGTGGAGACAGAAAGCTCAAGAAGTCCCGGTTCAGAGGTGATTTTATTTCGCTGCCTACATGATAAACATTCTCACTTTTTGACGGTTACGTTAAGTTCGTTAGTCATTCATTAAGCTGTTTTCAAATGACAAAATCCGTCGTTTGAAGTGCCAGCTGGCTGCTCTTATCTTGTATGTAGCTAGTCGGCTAATTGCTAAAGATGATTGGTCCATAAAATCAGTGTATTTGCGAAAAACACAGCCTTACATTCCTCTAATAATATGTATTAATACTTCAAATACTCTGGAAAAACATCTTAAGAATGTGTTCGTTGTCAATAGCGTAGACAAAGCTAGCTATACTGCCAGTTACAATTTGTTTTGAAAATTAGTAAATTAATTTGATTTTGGATTAAATGTGGACGCCCTGCCAATCTGTCCCAGACACATCTGATGGACAAACTCTATTTTATTAGACATTTATTCACAAGAACACTAAATGTGCCTTATATTTTATAATAAACAGCCATTTAAATGACATTACATTTATTTGAAGTGTCTATCCCAGTTTCCAACACCGATAACGATGCTGTTTGTCCTTGTATACTTTGATTTATTAATAAATAAGAAGCCATATCTGTCATATAATATTTGATTCATCCTGTGAACTTTTATGAAAATTTGTATATTTAAAGACACGTCATTACAGGGACTTGTTTTCCAACCAAGCATTAAATGGGGCTTTTGAATTAAAATCTTATGTGCTGTATAGTCTCTAATATGTGTTTAACTCTTATTTTTGCAGTGTAAAGCATGGGGAATGTCTTTGCAAACCTGTTTAAGGGTTTGTTTGGGAAGAAGGAGATGAGAATTCTCATGGTCGGTCTTGATGCCGCCGGTAAAACCACCATCCTGTACAAACTCAAGCTGGGAGAAATAGTCACCACCATTCCCACTATCGGTACGGCCGAAGGCGTCATCTGTTATTTGTGTTTGGCATTGTCTGGTATCCTGAAAAACACTTTCAAACACTTTGTCAGTCTCACGGTTTGACCTTGACTTGTGCATCATGGTGCACAAAAGTCTTTTGTTCAGATTATCTGCTGTGTATTGCTATGTACAGTATCTCACAGAAGTGAGTACACCCCTCACATTTTTGCAAATATTTTATTATATCTTTTCATGTGACAACACTGAAGAAATGACACTTTGCTACAATGTAAAGTAGTGAGTGTACAGCTTGTATAACAGTGTAGATTTGCTGTCCCCTCAAAATAACTCCACACACAGCCATTAATGTCTAAACTGCTGGCCACAAAAGTGAGTACACCCCTAAGTGAAAATGTCCAAATTGGGCCCAAAGTGTCAATATTTTGTGCGCCCACCATTATTTTCCAGGACTGCCTTAACCCTCTTGGGCATGGAGTTCACCAGCGCTTCACAGGTCGCCACTGCAGGGCTCGACGCTTACTTTTCTTTTTAGGAGCACTTGTGCTCCTAACTTAAAAAATTTAGGAGCACGTTCAAAATTTTCGGAGCACCTTCTGAACAATAATCCAAAATGTTATCAAAAAGTAGCCTTTCCATTACGAGGTGATATTTGACTCCTCTAACTTTATTAAAAGTATGTTATCTTTTGTCAAATTCTTAAAAAAATTATTTTTTATAAGCTTTTTAAAAATTGTAATTAAAACGACAGAATAGGAGTAGGATAAGAAACATAAGTTAAAAATCAAATGAAATCAATATTAACAATTAATTTGTAGAGGTGGCACAGAAGAACACAAAAGTGGCTTGATGTACCTTCAGACATTTAATGAAGTTCAGAAGTGGAATGAGTGCAATTAAATCCATAAATTAATGATGATATAAATGTTTTAAATATAACATTTTGAATATAGAAATATTAAATGATTTAAATAACTGAAAAGATACTTTAAAAATGAAACTAAAACTGCCAGCAGGTGGAGGCAAGTCACTGATTTTTATCACCGAATCATTCATTCAATTGATTCATTCGAACGGCTGATTCATTCAAGAATGAATCAAGTGACTGTATTTATGAATGGGTAATCATGAATCACTGACTCACTAGATTCGTTTAAAAGCCCCCGTTCATTCATAAACGAAACACTGCTGTGTTTGAATGGAGATGCGCTGTGACTTTGTTTTAAACTATTTTCGACGACGAAATAGAGCAAAATCAGACAATAGTGTTATAGTCAGACAATGTAAGTCACTTAATATTAACTTCTTGTTTATTGAATTGAATTGTATTAAATCAGTTACCACATTTACAAACTCCCTTAAAAATCATTAAAAGCTGTCACTCATCTTAGTTCTTCGCGAGCTCACATTTATAATCCACAAAGCTCTCTACACTGCGCAATGAATCTCTTATTTACACCCTGTCTACACTTTGCTAAGTTGCACAAAATGGCATCAGTCAGCTGACACTATTCCTAACACTTTTGTAGCAAGTTTATCTATTTACAAAGTGAATATATATATATCATATATCACTAGATGCACACATTTTTATTTTTATTTTATATATATTTTTTGTTCTCACACAATGGAAACTGTTCAGTGAATGGAACAAAAATATTTTTTTTTCTTGTGTTTTTTGAGATTTTTTTTTTGTCATTATTGTCTCATTGATGTAACAACATATTTTTTCTTAAACTAAGTGATATTAAAATATTATATTATGTTTAAAATATGCTTTGATATGACGATTTATTAGAATATTTAAATGGACAAATGAATTACAGTATCCTTTCACTACAGTATCACTACAGTATCCAAAACCATTTTTATTTTTTTTAAATGCATTGTGTGCTGAATTTTATTGTGAATTCAAAACTGTCACTATATCAAAAAATATTGGTGAATTTTTGCAACCCTAAACACCCTAAAATAAATGTTTTTTTTATAATATAATGGCTTCCTAACAAAATGTTTAATGGTGGAAAAAAAATTATTAATGAATTATTATTGCTGGGTTTTCGGGGTTTTAAATGGATGTTTATTTTAAAATTTTGGGTGCTTTTCACGATCTTAAAAAAAAAAAAAGTACTCATTAGATATCCTGTTTCTCATTACATGAGTAAAATAGGTTGTGAGAATGCCATTTCATGATGATTTTATGTGACTGATGCGCATGTTGTCTCTGAATCTCTGCGATTGGATTTGTCTCTTGTCCATCACAGGACCTTCCCAATGCCATGAACGCAGCTGAGATTACAGATAAACTGGGCCTTCACGCCCTTCGTCATCGTAACTGGTACATCCAGGCCACCTGCGCCACCAGTGGAGACGGGCTCTACGAGGGGCTGGACTGGCTCTCCAATCAGCTGAAAAATCAGAAATGAGCTCTTCTACAGCCTCCAAATCTGTGTGTGTGTGTTGTTGTACGAATGGGTAGGTGTGCGTGATTTGTGCGTGTGTTTGAGAGCGAACGAGACACACACACACACAGCTAAAGTACTGACCCAGACTTTGACTGAACTCAGTATCCCATGTTCCCCTCTTTCGTTTAGGTTTGGGCATTGCTGATTCAGACTGTGTTTGTGTGTGTGCGTGTGTGCATAGTTTATCTTTATTATGCACGTTAGCAAGAATGTATCGTTTCTGTGTGTTCATGTGTGTATGAAGGCTTCTCTGTTTGTTTGCTTGGTTTGGGAATGACCCTGGCGTGCCTTTTATACACACACATCTACTCTTATCGTTCCACCTCACAAACTGTAATACGACTCGTTGTTTTTGCTCCATACTGCACCACACATGGTTTTCACATGGCGAAGAAAGAACCAAGGTTGTCATAATGCACCTGCAATAACCTAGTATTCCAGTATTACTGGCCTGCTGAATATACAACCCGTACACTTTGGATATAGCGTTTTAAATTGAGATTAAAAACCTGCCCTGTACCTTTAGGAAAAACTGTGGTGTAACCTGTATCAGGTCAGGATCGATTCGCTCAGATTTCCCCGACCACCGCCATCCTTGATTGTTCTTTTCAGTCATTTGAAAATCAGGCTGTTTTATTTTCGGCTCTTCAGCTCCATGTTTTAATTAGTGAATGTGTCCGAATGTGGGTAGTGGAGTCGTGGGCAGATCTCTGGTTTCCTGCTGTACACTACCTGTTTCCAGCCGCCACACAGATCCCAAGCACAATCACAGACTGCTGAACATTCCCCCACCACCAAATTGTTGGATTTGATTTGAATTAAAAACATCATATATTAATAGTTTCTTTGTTTATTTTGTGTGTCCTGGAGAATCTTGTGGGGTGTAAAAATGGAAAGTTTCCAGTTGAGAATTGAGATTAATGCAGTGTTCTTAAAGTAATATTTTCCCTAAGATTATTTTAGATTTGATCAAAATAAAATGGTTGTTTCAGTTGTGTATTGTAGATCAGAGGTTTTATGAACCCTAAGTTAACTACAAACAAACCTAAAGTTTGGCTAAACATTTCATTGTTCCTTTAACATTTAAGTGTATTTATGTAGATGATGTATGTTTAGTTTATGATTAGCAGTGTTGGGGAAAGTTACTTTTAAAAGTAATGCATTACAATATTGCGTTACTCCATAAAAAAATTAACTAATTACGTTACTTAGTTACTTTTTATGGAAAGTAAAATTGGAAAAAAAAATAAGTAACTTGCGTTACTTATTTTAAAAAGTAATTCAGATATTCTCTTGTAAATTAAAAAGTAATGCGTTACTTTACTAGTTACTTGAAAAAAGTAATCTGATTACGTAATGCGTTACCCAACACTGATGATTAGTATATATATATATATATAAATATATTTATATATATTTATATAAAATTTATATTTTATTCAGCAAGTAAAATGTAATTAAATTGATTGTTACAACGTCTGGGTTGGTAACTTTTTCAATGTTTCAAAGTCTCATGCTCACCAAAGATGCATTTATTTAATTAAAATACAGTAAAAATTTTAACATTTGTGAAATATTATATTATTTAAATAACTGATTTCTATTTTAATATATTGTAAAATGTAATTCATTTCTGTGATCAAAGCTGAATTTTCAGCATCATTACTCCAGTCTTCAGTGTCACATGATCTTCAGAAATCATTCTAATATGCTGATTTGCTACTCAAGAAACTTTTATATAATTATCAATGTTGAAAATAATTGTGGAAAAATGTGCATTGGTTTTCTCCAAAATACTTAAACCTACATGTGTTAATGCAATTATTAAAGCTGTGCTAACTCGTTATGATCCACAATTAGCTATAGTAACATGGTATTTTACTGGGAAATATGATTACCATAGTAAATGTTTATTAAGGAAAAGTATAACAGATAGACAGATGTGCTACCCCTGGTAAACCTGTGATTGAGAGATGCATATGAGAAAGAGGTAAGAATGTTTTTTTGCGTAATATTACAATTTTTTAAATTCAAAGTAAATTATCTTCATAGCAGGTAAATTTGATATCAAAACTAATGTATTCAGTTATAAAAAAATATATAGTTGACTACAGATTATAAAGGACTTTTTTTTTTTAACCCAAAATAGTAGCAGTGGGGTAAAGTGTGTCAGATGCTTCAGGTAAACTGTAACAGAGGTTGGATTACTATTAGTGCAGGTAATCTTTGGCTTCAAATGCAGGGAATTAAAATCTTAAAAATCACCTAGTTTTGCTACATTCCCATATTATGAATATGAAATATTTTCCTTGTTAGTTTGTCAAAATAATTAGCAGGCAATTTGACTTGATATTGCTCAAAGATTGAACTTCCCTGCTATGACACATTTACCGCTAATGAGGGGCAAGGTGTTGTCATTGGACCATTTCTTTTTGAGGTCACATTTTATGGCTCCATGTTATAGATGTTTTGTTCTAATTTCAGCTGACAACAGGCATACTTAAATATATTTAGTGTTTATTTGACCTCCTTTATATATTTCACCAAAAAGAAAAAAAAAGATAATTGTCATAATTTAATCAGCCTCATGTCGTTCCAAACCTGTTTGACTGACTGACTTCTGTCGAGCACATAATATATTTGAAAGAATATTTGTTTTCGTCCATACAAAAGTCAATGGAGTCCAAAACAACTTTGGGACGACATGAGGCTGAGTAAATCTTTTGTCAACATTTACTCAACTTTAAAAAGTTATGACATAATCAGTTGAAGTTCAAATACGTGGCCTATAAGCATCCTGTTACGTAAAGTAAAAGCACATGGGCTGTTGTAGAAAACCCAGCGTGAGCTCATCACCTGCCTGTCTGCTGAGTGTAGGCGTGAACTGCCCCGCCCTTCCTGCACCTGTGCGTTCACAAGCTCCGCCCACGCGTCAGGTGTTTTCAGACGAAACTCGACTGGAGTAAAGAGGATGTTACTCATGCCGGCTGGACTTGATGAAACACTCCACAAACACTTTACCTTCAGCTTGTGTCACCATATACCGATACCAGACAACAACAAGTGGACGGTTTACATGCAGGTGAGATACTTACACCGCTTTAACTGTATGACTTACATTAAACTCTGCATATGTCAGAAACTAAACTGTTAACCTATTCTCAAGTGCCTCTGAGCTGTTTTACAAGGTGTCCTGATATTCGAAGGTTAGTGATGAATATGGTTTTTTGTTTTATAATACGCTTTCCAAAAATTACTGTGGTAAAACGGTACTTTGATATACAGCACAGCACTGAATAATAGGCTTAATGCAGGTCAAAAACAGTAATTTCAATGTGAAACTCGTCCAAATTACAGAGTTCACCCTTTAATGGTGTTTACAAGGTACCCCAGTGTGCATGGTAATACCACAGTACTTTTTAGTTAGTAAAAGTGGCTGTTTATGAGCATCATCTGTACATCTAGAACAGTGATTCCTAAATCTGCCTGGTCAAACTTATAAAAAATAAAGCATAAAATGGGTTAAAATTATGAAACGTGATCAATGTCATTATTTTAAAGGGGTCATATGATGCTTTTTTTTAAAGATTATTATTTGGTGTATTTGGTGTAACAGAATATGTTGACATGCTTTAATGTTCAAAAAACACATACATTTTCAAATACTGTACATTATTGTAGGTCCTCTATGCCCCGCCTCTCTCAAACGCTTCGTTTTCTACAAAGTCCCTCCTTCCGACAAGCGCAGTCTGCTCTGATTGGCCAGCTGACCCAGTGCATTGTGATTGGCCGAACACTGCAAGCACTCGTCGGAAATGTAACGCCCCTTACCATAATCGCGAGCTTCATCTTTCAAAATAAATGTAAAGACAGAGCCCGAAAGGGGAACAGAGTCGCGTGACAGACACAGTGATGAAGCTGGTATGTGTTTGTGATGTATCTCTCGCTCTCTCTCTCTCTTGCTCTCTCGCGCTCTCTCTCTCTCGTTCTCTCTCTCTCTCTCTACTTTCGGAAGGCCAAATAAAGTGCTTTTGCTTTCGCCTAGAAACACACAGCGTCTCCCTGACATGCTGCTTCAACACTAACTGCGGTTACTGAAACAACGCCTTCTTTCTTTGCGTGAACATTTGGGCGGCATTATGCTAATATTTCCACATAGTGAGGTAGATATGTGGGGGCGTGTTAGAACGAGCTGTTTTAGGGGGCGTGGCAGAGTCTTAACTTTGATATAGAATATCTCTTTGGTTTTGAGACTTTAGTCTTTGCAGCTTCAGGGATCTTATCGATGCACAATCAGCTTGTAACACTCCAAAGAGAAAGGAAAACTTGAAATCGCATCATATGACCCCTTTAAAGAAAGAACAAACAAAAGAAAATGTGTGGATGTGTTAGCTTGCATAATTATATGTGCTAATAGATCTTTTATTTATTCTTTTATTTAATATTAGTGACTTAATGCTGAATAATATCCAACATGACACAAGTTAAAAGTAACCCAAGAAAAAAAAAAGAGACTTGTTTGTCTCAAGAACTGCTTTATGAAGTATTAAAAATATGATTTAATTTTGCATGTACTTTTTATTGATACAATGCAGTTGTTCTCATCATTTGCTGAGCAATGCTATATTACACTATTGTACACTACTATTTAAACATTGCTTTAAGTGATGAAACAACATCAAAGCAGAACAAACACAAGCTTATCATGCAGAGGACGGAGCAACAGGTGCACAACTGCTTGCACTTTCATTTCTCCAACCTGTTTGCATGCCACTTTGACTGTGATCACGTTTGGTTTGAAGTTGTGCTGATGTTGAACCTGCAGCCTCTCTGAACTGCTCATTTAATGATGCATTCTTAAAAGAAACCCACGAATGCATGTTCTCTTTGAGCATGAAAATGTGTTCTGTGTGGTTTACCCTCTTTGTTATTTGATGTAAGTAGAGCCCGCAGCCTTGTACAGGAACAATGGAGCTTTATTTGCGGAGAGTGACATCACCCTTTTAATTTGACAGGTGCAAGATAGTGTTTAAGTGTGTTAGGTACAGAAAAGAAAAGAACTGTGTGTTATTTGTCTAGTTTCATAAATATTAGAAAGTGTGATTGGTTGATTGCTTTTATACCAGAGAACAGCAAACAGACTTGCTGAGAAGTGTTGACATGCATTCATTTATTATTCACTGTGTATTTGCTGGTTTAAGAGGTGAACGATTCACAAGTTCTCCGTTTGCGCGATCAGACACAGTCAACATATGAGTGTCTAGTCAACAGCTCTGTTTCCTTTAGCAACAGCAAATAAAAGATTAATAACAAAAGGTGTGACGGAAAGCCTCGCTTACACCGGTTTGGCACACGTCATTGTTTTCTTTTTGTTCTTGGCTGAAAATCAGGTTCTCGCGTGTTGAGTAAAATCTATTTTTGGGAAGGGAAACTTTGTACTTATAAACCAATTTTGAATATTTTGACACATGGTTGGTGTAGAGTAGCAAATATTTCGGTATATGAGTCACACCTTGAAGTGATCAAATAATGTTTTGCGTCTGACTTTTTCAAACGGAGCGTTCGTCTCGTGTCACTCGGCAGTGATGGAGGTGAAAGGCTGCAGGTCAGAGCTGGAAGTGTTCAGGAGGTCGACGATTGAGACCGTGTCCAGAAGAGATTCTGTTTCTGTGAAATGTTCTCCATCTTCCCAAATCCTTCAGATGTCAACACCTCGATCGATACCTCTGACATACAGGTAACTCGTGGCACTTTGTGCTTATTGTATTATTTGACTGTGGCTGAAAATTTGCTTAAAATACAAACTGACCTGCAATGCACAACCAAAAAAACAGCAATGCTGTAATTCTCTTTGTTTTATTTAAATTTCATAAAAAATTTAATTTAATATATATCGATTTTTATAATTGATCTTGATATTAACTAATTTTTCATTTCATTTACATTTATTTTCAACTATAGCAGTACTGTATAAACTGCTTTTAACAGTTCAAAGTTGAGTTTAAAGATGTGATTCTGTTTATTTATTTTTTACATGCATAATTGTATTTAATGTAAATTACTTAACTGAATTGAATCAAATTTTATTTCATTTTAAACTGTATAAACCGCTTCAGACAGTTCCAAGTTGAGTTTAAAGATGTAATTATATTTGTGTTCTTTATATTTTACATGCATCATTTTATTTCATTCAAATATAAATTATTTCATTTTAAACTGTATAAACAGCTTCAAACAGTTCCAGGTTCCATATTTAAAGATGCTATTTATATTTTAAATACATAGTTTTATTTCATTCATTATACATTTTTATCATTTTATTTTATTATATTTTATTTTATCGTATTTTATATCAAAAGTGTAAAAACTGTTGAAAGTTGAGATTAAAGATGTTTAATGTTATTTATATTTAAATATGTTATTTATATTTTAAATACATAATTTTATTGCATTTGGTCTAAATGACTTTTTAATTATTTTTTTTGCAACAGGTCCACTTTTTTAGTTTATGAGTAAACAATGCTGGTCTTATTGAGAGAATTTATTTATTAATGCATGTTATAAAATATGCCAGTTGTTTAGTAAATGTTCATGAAGTCCTGCCTTTATTCTGTTTATTCCTGTTAAATATCTTGTTTCAGTCTGAAATATTTCAGTTTATGGAAACAAAATGTGTTGACATGTTCTTGATGCTTTTTACTTATTATTCTTCCTGGTCTTGTGATTTTAGCATTCCAACTAAAAGGGAGTTTCGAGCTTCATCTGCACCTTTGATTCCCAATCCGTTTCCAGAGCTCTGCAGTCCCACACACTCCCCAGTGCTGACCGGATCCTTCAGCGGGAGGGATCCTCCCTCCAACAGCAGCACACACGTAAGCATGCACGGTTTAATCTGTGACACAAATGGCAGACAGTTGCCTGTGGTGCTATGAATTCTCAGTAGTTATAATAGGTGACAGACGCCACGACAGGCCATCCTCAGGGGAAAAACGAGCGTGCATGTACACAAACACATCACAGGGCATTCAGTTCATAGACTTGTCAATAAAAATACACAACACAAGCACATTCTTTGGCACTCAAAAAAGTTCATGACCTCAAACAAACAAAACAAGCATGAAACGTCTCATGCATTTGCGTGCATCTTAGTTCTTTAATGGTTTACGATCAGATTCTTGCGTGTTTCCGTAGGTGCTTCGGGTTTTTGGGGACGCCACACACAGTCGGTCGGTTTTGGTGACGTCGGGGACGACGGCGCATGATGTTTGTCGTATGCTAGCACAGAACGCACACTGTACGGATGAGGAAAGCTGGGCTCTCATTGAACATCATTCTGCTTTAGGCCTGGGTAAGACTTGAGGATGGTGTTATTGCACTAAAACAACATAATGCAATTGGTGATACACTTCTAATACTCTCCTGTGAGTTCCATCTTCCATAATGCAACTTATCAATACAAATACTTTCATAATACAATGTAAAATTGCATACTTTACCTACAAAGGAAGTCTGATAGTAATAAGGTTTGTATTGGAAAACAGTGGGTCGCTGCTTTGCATTCACTTTGTTGTTTGCATGCACTTGATTTTGCACTGCAAAACAAATCCCAGTCTAGTGTTTTAGCTTTTGACAAATCGATTATGTAATCACACATTCATGCCTCATCGTTTGGACAAAGTCCACTAAATGCCATCTCAAATGCCACCTTGTTTGTGTAGAAATAATGTTAAGACAAAAGCTGCCATGTCTTATTGTGCTTTTATAATGAGTGATTCTTTGCTGAAAGAAATCAGACCCAGGGGTATTGTGGAAAATAGCATTGAAATGAACACAACCAACGTGTTATACAGGCTTTTACAGTAGCTTTAGTTGTGCTGGATTGGATGAACCTTTGATTTCGATGGCTTATGAATGAGTAAAGTATTTAGCAACGTTTTTTTAAATAATTGTTTCACTAAACTTAGAGACATTTAATGTTTAATTTAATGTATAATTTATTTAAATTAAATTTAAATGTATTTGTTTATTTTTAAATTTTATTGAATGCATTTTTTTAATTTAATTTTAATTTAGTTTTCATTTTAATTTTAATTTCAATTTCAATTAAATTAAATTTTAATTTGTAATTTAATTAAATAGTTTAATTTAATGTGTAATTTTTTATTTAAATTGTTTAATTTTCAAACTTTGCGTTTGTCTTTTTTATTTATTTTTTTCCCCACCAGAGCGCTGTCTGGAAGACCATGAGCTTGTGGTGCAGGTACAGTCATCCTGGCATGTAGAAAGCGACACAAAGCTGATCTTCCGCAAAAACTACGCTAAGTACGAGTTCTTCAAAAAACCTGTGGTATGAAACCTCTTTATTATCATCATCACCTACTAATTTATCTGAAAATATATATATTTGTATAGAAATGTTCACAATGCTTTTAACTGAAGTGGTTACAACTACCAAATGTAGACATTTTTAGTAATTGTTTCATTTTTTTCCTGTTATGCAGTTATTTTTCCCAGAGCACATGATATCTGACAGCGCTGATGTCACTAAAGGCAGGACATCATCAGAGCTGGTGCAGGTATGACGATCTATAGCTTTTAAAACATTAAAATGGCAATTTTATAAAACCATAAAACCAGTAAACGTCTCTCTTGTAGAATATGGTGAAGAGTGGCTCCTGTCCAGAGAGTCAAGGCTTTCTCCATGTGAGAGAGGGCGGAAAAAAGTCCTGGAAGAAACTCTATTTTGTTTTACGACGCTCTGGACTGTACTGCTCCAACAAAGGACAGTCAAAGGTGCCACACACAAACAAAAACACATTCATACACACACCGCACACAAAGTGTGTATGTACACATAAACATACATATCAAATCTGGATGCATATGTATGTTTGTAGGAACCTCGGCACCTGCAGTTCGTCGGAGATCTGGAAGATCTGAATGTGTTCACAGTGTTCAATGGCCATAAACTTTACGGGGCTCCGGGAGAGCATGTCTTCTGCATTAAGGTAGCCAATAGGAACAGAGAATCAGTCTTATTTTTGGTATTATATAGTATTTATTAATATTTTGAATTAGTTTTTATTTTAATATTTTCAGTTTTCATTTTAATTTAAGTTTTAGTAAGTTAGTTATGTACTTTATTATTTTGTTTTATATTTCTATTTAGCTTTATTTCTTTTCATTTTAGTTTTAGTGATTTCAGTATTTCAACTTATTTTTTCAGTTAGTTGCAAGAGCAACATTAAAAATTTAGTTTGTTTTTAATTTAATATTATTTATCTAATATTTTATATTAGATTATATTATATTAGATTTATATTTTATAATATTTTTAATCACAATAATTCATGCTAAACCACATATGACAGAATTTATAAAAGTGATTCATGAATACATTTAAGTTTAGTCATTTTATTTCCTATATATATATATATATATAACTTAAAATGTATTTATGAATCACTTTCTGTTTAGCTGTATTTTATTATTACATCTATTTTCAGTTTAAGTGGAAATATTTAAACCCTAACCCTAAATTTATATATATATGATGTCTTGCTATTTTTGTATTACAGTGAAAATTTAATAAAAATAATGAAAAATAAATAAATTATATATATTATATATTTTTAGTTTTTATGCTTTTAGTACTTCAACTTCAACTTCATCTTATTTTATTTTAATTAATTTCCAAGGCAACATTATATTATCCTAATATTTAATATAATCTAATATAAAATATTAGATTAAAAACAAATCAATGTTTTTATTTTAGCTGTATTTCCATTTACAAAAACACTTTTTAATAGTTTTATTTTTAGTTACAGTTTTAGTGACAATTTATGAAAGCAATTCATAAATAAAGCAATTTGTTAATTTTTAAAATGCTGTAGGTTTTCTTTTAGGGTTTGAGTTAGTCTATAATAATTATAATTGCCTTTACATAACAGCATCAGAAGTCTATAGTATTTCCTCATGTAGACAGCTAAATGAACATGAATGTGTGTGTATGTACGGTAGGCCTCAAAAGACAGGTTTCGCTGTCAGGATTTGAAGCTGATGTGTGCCGACAGTGAGCAGAGTCGTACGTGCTGGATCACGGCCTTCAGATTGTTTAAGGTATATGAACACACACACAGACTCACTAAGAAAAAACACTGGACTAGCTCAATCTGAAACCTGCAGTGTGTGTGTGTTTTAGCATGGGAAACAGCTCCAGTGTAACTACCAGCTCTCCCAATCCAGTGCCAGACTTCACAAATCATCACGACAAGACTCCAAGGTACAGAAAACATCTCTCAAACTCCAAAAAAGTAATCCATACAACTTGTGCACTATATTCTGAAGTCATATGTTGGCTTTGTGTGAGGAACAGATTGAAAATGCACATGATTCACTGAGCTTCTCACACGTGTTGTCGTCAGTATGCAGACCGGGAGGAGTCGATGGTGGCCATGGATTTTTCAGGGAAGAGCGGCGGACGAGTGATTCAGAACCCACATGAGGCCCAGAATGCCGAGCAGGAGGAAGGACGCAACTGGCGGGTGTGTATGTGTATTTGTGCTCAAGATAAACTATGATTTAAAATAGAACAATATTTAAATAATAATAACAACAACAACAACAGCAGTTTCTATTTTAATACATTTTAAAATGCTTAATATATATTTGTGGAAACAATAAAATTTTTTCAGGATTCTTTGAATGGAAAGTAAAAATGAATGCATTTATTTGCATCATTTGTAACTTTATAAATGTCATTGCTGTCATTTTTGAACAATTTAATGCATCCTTGTGTGTGTGTGTGTGTGTGTGTGTGTGTGTATATATATATATATATATATATATATATATATATATATATATATA